GTTAGGGACAGTGCAGGTATATCATCGTCCACGCTATGTGTATGTTTATATTTATTTCACAGTCTTCCATCCCTCCAGTCTTCCCTTTATCTCCTTCCTCCATCTTCCTCCCTCTTCTCCTCTCAATATTGAGGCCCAGGAGGAACCACAGTCTGCTCCTACTCTGCCACATATTCCCCCTTCAGCCAAGCCAGTGAGTGAAATGTTACGTTTTTTCATCTGCCAATAAAGAAATGCGTGAATGCCGGCATTCTTTCTTTCTCAAGGCCCAAAGAGCAGGATTTCCTCCTGATAAGAGGAAAGGTCTCATAAAGAAAGAGAGGTAGAGATGGAGAGACATAGAGAGAGAGAGAGAGAGAGAGAGAGAGAGACGGCATCATACTGTGAATGGGCCATACAATGAGTAAGTATATGTGTGTGCACGGTTTTATCAGTAAAGTGTGAAATCTAATTCTTCACCTTAATTAACAAGCAGAGAAAGCCTGACCCTGATGAGGAGGCTAATCAGCTACAAGCCCTGCAGCTTGCTTTTCACACACACTGCTCTCTTACAGGAGAAAGAGAGAGAGAGAGAGACAGAGTGAGAGAGAGAGAGAGAGAGAAAGGTGAAAGAGAGGCAAACTGTCTCTAAAGAAAGTGAAGATTTAAGCCACAAAGGCATATAGAAAGAAAGAATGTATGCCAGGCACAATCATGACATTTTAGCTCATACTTAAGTGACATAAAAATTACGTAAATTTAAATTGCAATTAACAAATTGATTTGTTTGTGTTCACTATGCGCAACAATTAAAGTACAAGCCAAAAGGCACAGCTGCAATAAACAAACATTACTTACTGCTACACTAAATGTGTTATAGCACCAGCCAGAGGTTTTGTGCTCTCTGCTTTCTTTTATTCACGTTTTATCTCAACCCAACAGATGAAAACACACCCAATTCAAATCCTGTTTGTTGTGACGTATGATTGAACAACTGTGGAAAATAATTGCAGCCTGCTTTAATAACTGTGATCAAGTGATTATGTAATAACTGTGAAAAGCCTTGCACAATGCGGATGTGATTGAAAACGGGAATAAGTGTTTGAGCAAACTACAGACAATGTCAGTGAATGTGGCAGAAAAAACTGACACAAGAGAGAAAAACGGTCGGAGTTAGTTGACCAGTAAGTGTATTACCATGGCTGCAGTTTGTTATTTGGTTTATGAGTCTGGTAACAGGCCAGACCAGGTGAGAGAGATAGAGAAGAAGAGAGAGATAGAAATTTCTTCACCCCTCGCTCTAGCACAATATGAAGATTGGATTCAATTTCTGACGCTCGGCCGGTCAAACTGTTCAGTGTGTTAAAGGCTTTCAGAATCAGACAACACACTATGCCCTTAGCTATCACTAGGCATATGTGCCCCCCCCCACCCTCTCTTTCTCTCACACACACACTAATGCACACTCTCTTTGCCCTGTCAGATATAAGAGTATCAGGGACCAAATGAGGTCCATTTCGTGGCCGATGGCCATGGCGGCATTTTCCACTGGAGAGGTGAGGCTTCCGTGGCAGAGAATGTGTTTACCTACATATTTTTATTGCTATCTGCTTAATGGCCTATGAATGTCTCCATGGATACATGAAAGGGAGAGAGGAATAGAGGGATAGGGACGGGTCACATCGAAGAGCCAGGTGCTCAGCAGGGGACTTATGTGTGTGTATACAGACAAATGTGTGTGGGTGGGTGAGCGAGGAAGAAGAAAGATGTAGAACTGCACAGTGCACAGCTGAACTATGAGAAGGTAGCGATAGAACATGAGAGAAAGAAAAAAAGAAAGAAAAATATTACATTGGCTTGGCACCTGCATGATCAAAATTGACTAAAGGAGGAAGTAATTGATGCGTGAGTAAGTGAGTGAGAGTATGTATGTATGCATGTAAGCGCCAAGCAGACAGAGAGAGAGAGAGAGAGAGAGAGAGAGAGAGAGAGAGAGAGAGTGTAGGTGTTGGGACAGGGATGAGAGAGGTAGCTTAATGCAATAAAGCATGTTGTATTGACATCTCTGTTGTGTCTATTGATTCCCCATTATGTCCCTAACAAACCCTGGTGGACATTTTGTCATTCGCAATCACGTTAGCACTGGGACTTGCTGACGCTACCGCTCAAATCCGATCTATACACGCGCGCGAGCGCACACAGACTGCATGTGGACGCCTAACTCAGTGTTGCTTAATCAATACCAGTTGGAGGTTAAAACACCTCATGCAGCATCTGACTGCAAATTTGTATTGATATGAGCTTGGCACACAGGCACACACACACACAGTCTTGTACACTTTAATTGACCACTAAGTACACTATTCACATTCCCACCCACTCATAGCATTAACCTCATGCAACCCCACAGCAAAAAGGGGCAATATCCATCACCCCATGCCAACGAAGGGCAGTAATGTGAGGATTGCTGGAGGTAATGGTGGAGGAGGTTTTTGTGGAGAGACACAGTGATGTGCATCTGTGTACGGAGTGGAAAAGTGAAGATCATGGGTTGGGAGCAGAGGGTCGAAGCCTGGAAGATACGTGTTTAAACCCTGAGTGAAGGGTCTTAACCCAAAGTCCATCAGTACAGTTCTATACCTAAGTATGCCTCAAGACAACTTTCACCCACCACAGTCTGCTTCAAACGTCTCCATGATGATTGAATTATATGAAATGATTTACTGTGCAGAAACTTTTCTTTTGTTACATTTTGCCTTTGGCCAAAACTTTCTCAAAATTATCATAAGACAATGTCTAAGGCATCAGGAAGCATATTCATAATCATTTTATGCAATTATATTCTGTTAGCTAACTTTTAGAGGTACTAAACTCCTCAGATGTCTAGTTCCTATTATCACCACTGTGAACAGTTCTGACTCAGTAAGTCTGATGTGGAGTACTTCAAATCAAACCACTTTAAATCACTTTGTTTACATCTTAACCATTTAACTATGCAGAAGTTTGACACTCTTTGTATAAACTAAGGAAAACATTTTTAAAAATCTACCATTTCAAACTGTAGAATGAAAAGCAGTCTATATGCTGCTATACTGAGGATCTTGATGCAAAAATGAAATATAGAATTTATTGAGGCATCAAATTCTTCACAACCTAATCTGCAAAAAAACAAATATCATACACCAAAACAATACAAGAATCAGAGTAACAAGAAAATTAAGCCATGGACAAGAACCATCTTCAGCAGTTCACCGAAATGTTCACCCTAAAAAACATTTAGAGCTTTTAGCCAGATACATTTGTAATGTGCTCGTCAACCTGAAACCCTGACAGAGCTGGACAGTCTGACCAATGGCACAATGGCCCCCAAAACTATTATTTCCTATTGGCTGATCTACCACTCACTCTAGCTGGTTCGATGTCTTGCCATTTCACTAATGCCAAGTGTCCATTTTGAATTTCTATAAGTTTCAAAAGCCGTTATTATTCTCGTCCTCGGTTGCTCTAAAGCCGTTATTATTCTCTTTTACAACATATTCTTCCTTAGAGGACTGTTTCATCTTAAAAATAACACCAAATCCTATCAACACAAATACATACATATATATTACAAAGGAAGCAGTCAGCAGCCAGTAAGGAATGAGTTAGTAATGAGTGAATGCCATGATCTGAGACATCAAAGAAAGTAAGACAACCTGAGGCGTGGGCAAACACTGCACACAGACACACACACATGCATTTTCAAAGCACACAGGGAAACGCCATGGGAACCATGTTTAACAAAGATCTTTGAAAATCGGAGTCAAGAAGATCTAAAACTCTTACTTTAGAAGAGTGCTATCTCATTGGTGTCATCTTTACTGGCAGCGAACCTTTTCTTATTGTAAATGCAACAAAATTCTATAGACCACAGAACTCTTGCCTGAAAACACTCTACACCTCCAGACTGAGCACCTAACTGACTTATCCAAACTGGCTTAGGAGGCCACTTGCCAATCCAATTTTAACACTACCTGCCCAGGGAGAAAGGGCAGCACCATGTGGCCCATTCTGCGCTGTTTTGGAAGATGTGTGAACATCTGGACCTTGGCCCATTTAGACTACTGAAAGGGAGTCCATGTCTCTGTTCTTGAAGGGGGATGCAAATGCTTTGGTGTCTGTCCTTCTCTCACCCGAGCAGAGGGTTTGAGGGGGGGTCATGAGTGGGGGCAGTCTGCTTAGCTTATTTTAATTTCATACTTTTTACTAGTATCATGGACAGAAGGAGACCTACGGTCACTGCCGAAACTATGGCCCCTGTTCCCAATCTCAAACCAGCACTTAAAACTAAAACTGATAATGTGAAAAATGCGCTGTTACTTTGTGTGTCAGTTATGTACTGTTACTAAGACAAATAACGAGGATAACACATAAGGCAAACTTGGGCTCGAAATGAGGCCACAGCAAACATTCCTGGGTAAACTTCAGAGCGCAAAGCACTGAAAAAATGATAAAATGTGGGAGGAAAAAAAGAGCCGTGTTATTCTCTCCCGTCGCTAAATTCTCCCCCTCAGCGCCTCGTTTCTTCCCGCGGTCCCGCTATCGATCTCGGCGGAATCGATGGATTTCCATGAATATTCCCCAAACCGGCCGGGAGCAGAGACAGAGAGAGAGAGAGAGAGAGAGAGAGAGAGAGAGAGAGAGAGAGAGAGAGGGGGGAAGAAGAGGGAAGAGGAGAAGAGAGGAGAGGCAAGTAGAAGAGAGGAAAAGAGTGGACAGGAAGAAGAAGAAGAGGCGAAAAGGGGACAGATGGACGAGGAATAAAGACGAAATAAAGACGGACAATGAGGAAGAAGCCGAGAGCCAGCCAAACAAGCGCCATTAGCTACTTATCAGCACTCAGCACTGCCTTTCATTACTATTGATGGGGAGAAGAGTGATAAAGAGGTGGAGAAACTGAACCGAGGAAGGATTTAGGAGGGTGTGTGCGTGTGTGGTGAAACAATGAATAAAAACAAACGCAAGTGTGTGGAGGCTCTTACCGGAGCTGGAGCGCAGAGGCAGCGGAGCCTTGAGGCGCCAGGCGCCGAAGTCGCGAGAGCTTCTCTGAAAAACCAACGGCACCGGCAAGGGAACAAACATGATCCGCTGTCGTCTGGCTTTTTGTGGGGTGGGTGGTTCTATAGGCGCTCGTCCTCGGTTGCTCTATTCTTCTTCTTCTTCGTCTTTGATTTCGTCTAGTTTTCAGGTAGACTGGTGGAAACGCTCTCGTCAGTGTGCAGAACTGGAGGAGGAAGCTGGTGTGTGGATGGATGCGCGCGAGCTGTGTGTGGAAGTCTATGCGAGCTTTCTGTTTTTGGTGTTGCGCCTTTCTGTCATTGTTACGGCTCCTTTGCTGCTGTTTTTATTTTCTTGTTTTAAACCTGATGCTCGGACTCGCACACGGATGGTCAGGAAGCAGCTCTTTAATAAATAAAGCAGCGCGTTGTTGTTTTTTTGTAATGGATCTGCTTCACTCTTCTTCCTGCGCTACGTTTAAACTGTGGTCGCAGTAACCGGGCCGCGGCTCGTACACTTTAACTTTAAACACACACACGCCGTCACTCGGAGTCACTTTTCCAGTCTTCTCAAATCTCATTCAGACTGAGGAAAAATACGCCGCTGTGGCCTTTTGCTTTGGTTTCGTGTCTAAAAGAAAAAAAATCTCAGGCACACACTCGTCCCTCCATCCGCCTGAAAACTACCCGGCTCGCTCGCTACAAAAGCATCGGGATCGTAACCCGTTTAAGCAGAAACATTTGGCTTTTTTTTGGTTTGGTTTGCGTATCGCCCTCACAAACATACGCCGAGGAGCATGATCGGATATAAAAATCTATAATTTAATCCCTAACACATTCAATAAGTGTGTCACTAAGGTAAGGCTGGCGCTGTGCTCCTCCTTCCTCCCCCCTTCACTCGCAGTCACAGGCCACTAATTAAAACGCAAGCAATCGATAGATAAATAAAGCGGACCCGTCTTCTCTCTCTCTCTTTCTCTCTTTCTCTCTCTCTCTCTCTCTCTCTCTCTCTCCCTCTCTGTCTCCCTCTCTCTCTCTCTCTCTCTCTCTCTCTCTCTCTCTAAGCACAGCGGTGAAACTGAAGGAAAAGAAGGAGCACGGTACCGGTCACGCGGATTTCGCTTCTTGCCTGTGTCCCGCCATCCGTGTGCGAGTGTGTGTGTATAGTGAGTGTGTCCGTGCTTGGGGAAGGCCTCGCGCTCTCCTCCCGCTCCGTCCGCCTCCCAGCACGACGAACGCGCTCTGCAACAGAGGGAGGAGGAGAAAGAGAGGAGCAGCGGCTCTGAACCTCCCCATGCCCCCCTCCTCTCTCTATACCACCCCCCACTCCCCTCCTCCCTCTACTCCCCTTTTTTTGACTAATCCTATGGAAGAGGGGGGGGGGGCTCTCCCCCGTATTGATCCCTTGATTACTCTTCATTATGGGCGGCTCTGATGATTGCGGTGAGCCGCTCTAATCGATGAGCTTTACACAATATGGACGCGATGTGGATTACAGCAGGTGATCGCGCGCTCACTTTAACGCGCAGGTAGAAAAGATGGAGGGATAGATGGATGTAGAAATGCCATTCAGGGCCGCAAGGGTTTTATATAAGAGACTGAAAGGGGGGACACCGCAGTGGAGAAACAGGGAAAAACAGCACTCGTGTAACTAAAACTCTTCTTTTCTCATTCGCTTCCTTAACTTCTATTCGCTCCGTACAGGAGAAATGAACGCTTGTGAGTCCAGAGATCAGATGCCGTGTCTCTTTTCTCTCCCTCCCCTCGTCCCCGCCGTCCTCCCATACGCCGCGCGCTGTCACTTATAAAGCTACAATCTGTGCCGCGCACTTACACTCAAGATTATTGCCCACATAGATTTTTAAAATAGAAAAATCTATACGCTAAACATCGCGGTCAATACGGGGAAATCGAAAGCGCAGAGCCAGATCCACCCACCACCTTGCATCCCTCCCTCCCTGTCTCTCTCTACCTCTCTCTCTACCATCCCCAGCGTTTTTAATGAGCTATCGATCAATTATGGACCCACGGATCATAAAAACTGGAAGCATTATTTAATGACGAGATATGACAGATTTATTCATGACTGGTAATGGCAGCCTTGTTAAAATATTATCACGCGCTCGTTTTTTGGAATTAACGCTCGTTTCTCCTCCTTTCGGTGCGGGCCTATAAAGGCGCAGTGACTGTGGAAGCCTCACTGTCCCCCAAGTCCATCTTCCTCCTCCTCCTCCTTTCCGTTTGACAGATGACATCCGCGTGTCCAGCGAGCAAGAGGGAGAGGGAGAAGAGGGGAAAAGGGAGCGCGCGGTTGTCCTTCTCGAACCCCCCTGAGCGGAGAGGCCACTGCCCCCCCATCCAAACTCCTTCCAGACAAAAGCAATTATTTCTTGTAGAATATAGTGTGTTTTGCGCGTCTATCGCGCGGAGAAGGAAGGAAGGTGGATTGAAGACGGTGTTGAGCCCAATACCGTCCTGCGAACTCACACACACACATACACACACACACATACCACAAACACACATCTCTGACATTTTCTAGCGTAGCGTACCTGCCCAGTGTCCACCTCACAGGTTACAGCAGCTCTTACCACAAAAACGTCCACAAAGCGCGGAACCCTTTTATTCTAAAAGCCGAATGACACAAACAAACAAATAAACGTGGTGTGCACGTGTCCGTCCTGGTCTTAATAGAAATGACACGAGGCGCAGTGATTCAACAGCCGAGATCTGTTGTGTTTCTTAAAGCTCTCCAACGACTGACATCAAGGTATTAATATATTTTGCTATTCAGCAACCGATGAACAACATGCCTGAGATAAAGAGGGGGAAGTCTTGTCTCTTTGTGTGTGCGCGCGCGTGTGTATGTGTGTCAGAGCGAGAGTGAGAAAGAGAGAGTTCATTGTTAAATGGCAATGTCATGTTGACAAACGAGCTGGTTGAATTAAATTCTCTCTCATCAATAACAAGGCGCCCCCAATCAATACCAGCTTACAATTATATCACCACCCCGGCTCACTCTAACAAGCAGCTAATACTGCGGCCTGTACAAACACACACACACACACACACACTTCTGTCCTCGTTACATTCAGCTTCAGTACAATTACCTAATACAGAAACACAAAAGCATGCACACACGCACGCGCTTCTCTCCTTGTTACACCCAGCTTGAATACAATTGCCAAATGTAGAAACACACGCCCACATATACACACAACTAGTCTGACTTTATCCTTTCCCTTATCGCCTATCCGTCAGCGCCTTTCTAAGTGAGAGAGAGCGAGAGAGGTTGGAAAAGAGAACAGATTCAAACAGAGACACTTTAGTTCACTCTCACGCTCTCACACACAGGCTGTCTGTCTTTGTGAGCTTGGCCTAATGATCAGTGCTGACATATTGTCAATAGTCAGCTCAACCCCTGCCAATACCTCTAATACATATCCATTATGTGAGTCGTGGGCTTGACAACACCGACCAGCTGTTGTGGCCAGGTGAAGTAATTATTGCAGCGCTATTGGTGTTGTCCTCTCTTCATCACCAGCGCACACCAGCCCGCAGCTCATTCACAGATATCTAAGCCACCAGTGCCACGGAATGCCGAGACCCAAAGGAGTGTTTGTTTATTTGTGTGTGTGTGTGTGTGTGAGAGAGAGAAACTCAGTTATAAGTCAGCATCTGCGGAAAAAACCTCTACATCCCTTAAACGCGTCATGTCCGATCAAAATGTATAAAGTGAAATTCTTCACGAGCTTTAACTTAATATGAAATGTGCTATTTTGACACGACTTTGATACACTTCTAACACATTTCTCTACTTTATTCAAACTGTATCACCCTCTTTTCCCTCAAATAAGCTAGATGCCTCACGCAACATGAAATGTAAGCTAGTATTTTGATTTCACGCGCGTATGGCGGAAAACTTCAACCATATTCATACATTTCACTCACTGTCACTATTATTAGGGTATTTATCTTAAAGCTGTCCAACGTCCATCATTCTTTCAAAAAGGCTGAACTCGGAGGTTGATTAAACGCGCTTGCTTATGGCAGGGAACTTTAACCATGTTTCCCCCATTTCGATCATACTAAAACACCAATGTTACGGCATTTAGCACAAATCCTCACCGCGTCCACTTTTCTCCGGAAAAGCCGCCAGACCGCGGCGCGGTGATCACGTCTATCAGCAGCGTGCAGGCCGCCGGGCTGCGGGGAGCCGCTGGACTGTGATCTGCCGACACAGACGAACAGGATAAAGGGCCAACACCGAGTCTCTGATCTTTACGGGTGTCTGTGACAGAGTTGCATGGTGGCAGAAAGAAACAGCTAGGGCGTGTGTGCATGTGTGTTTTCACATGTGCCCGTGTGTGTGTGCTTGTGGCCATGTATTCAGCTCTTTACGAAGACCAAATGTTCCCAGGACGGTAGGAGAACTTGACGATTGTTCGGACATTTGCACTTGGTTTAAATACAAATGAAGTTTGACTTGTATATATATATATATATATATATATATATATATATATATATATATATATATATATAACAACCTTCCGGTTGCTGAGGTTTAAACATAGCAGTATTTTGCTGTACTCATAGGATGGAAATGTGCCACAAACATAGGAATACAAACGTGTTTGTGTGTCTGAGAACTAGAGGAAGAGATCAAGGAATGCAGCATGGATTTGCTTTTGTGTGTGTCCACGTTCATGTGTGTTGAGCATGTGGTGTGTGATAGGGCAGTGCTTCTCTGTTGGGTGTGTGTGGGTGGATGTGTTTCTTGTGTGGATGGTATCATTGTTAAAAAAATCTCCCCACACTTGATTTCCCAGTATTTAAGTCAAAAGACTGTGTAAATCTACATCATGACCCATCCAAGGCCTTATAAGCCAGGAGTTAACGTTCTTTTTTTAATGAGAGATTTTAAATACATCTCTTTTTTGCATTCAATTTTCCAGTGTCGGTCAAGTGCAAACAGGTTTGTTCTAATACCTACAACAGATTCCTTCCGTCTCTATCTCTCTCTCACACACTCTCTCTCCCTGTGCACTGAGACCATGTGTGGGTAGATTTAGAACCGGGATCAATAAGAAATGTAGAAATCAATGCACTTAGCACCAGGAAATCAATGGGCTCTAATCGGGATGCCAATGGCACAAGTCAAAACAATTAAGAGAGAAGAAAAATGTTTAACAACCTCCTCTCTCTTGCTTACACAGCGAGGAAGAGAGAGAGAGCATGAGAGAGAGAAAACGAGGGAAAGAAAGAGGTACAGAAAGCAAGACGCAGCGAAGATGAGATTACAGTTGGGAATCGGGGAGCGGGAGACGCAGGGGAGGAGGAGAAGAAAGCTGACAAGCTCAACTGAGAAAGAGGGATTGGGAAGAAAGGAAGGGAAGGACAGAGAGACAATGAATGGGCAGCTGATGAAGGTAGAGAGGCAGACATCAAGGGAGGACAATGATGCGTAATTGTCAGTGAGAGACAAAAGGTGAGAAGAAGAGGGAGGGAAGGCTTGGATTAAGGAAAAGGTTTGACACAAGTAGTAAATGCTTTCTGGCAAGAAGTGTCACCATTATGGCAAACAGCCAACAAAAGAGTCCATCATTAGCTTCTCAGTGGTGACTAAGCAAATTAGGATGTCGAAGGTTAGCCTGTGTGTGTGTAGCAGTTGGCTCAATGGTTCCATCAGATGGTCAAACACAGAGGCACTCATCCATAGGTAAGTGTGTGAATCTGGCTGTCAATCAAACCAGGCCCAATTATCAATGCACAGTGACAAAAATACCACCCAACCAATCAGGCAGGGAGCATCTGACAGATTAGGCGATTGGAATGAATACAAGTTCTCTTCACCTCTGAAAGCATGAGAAAGCGGAAGCAGGTCGGGTCAGAGGCAGCCATATAGGGCTGAACTGGGGTCGATCAATACCTGAACCCCCATCCCACCCGACCCCTACCTCTCTCCCAAAGGCAAGCAGAGAAAATCAATGGCGGAGGGTTTATAACTCCTGACTAGTGTGTGGATTAGTGAAG